ACTCACAACAACAGCAACGACATTGAAAAAACTACAACATCAGCAGCAGCAACAACAACAACAGATAAATCTTCCTAGATCAACTTTTTACCTAAACAAAACTGAAAGCTTGACCAAAGTGATTTACAACAGCAACGCAAACAACAACATCAACAACATTAACACTACAAACGATACAAAAACCGACAACAACAAAAATGACATTAACAACAACGACAATTCCACTCCCAGTGACATTGCTCTCAAAGACAGCAGCAACAGCAACAACAACACAAACAACACAAGTTGTGGTTACATGAATCTCCGACAGAAATGTAAAAGGTTTGTGCTGGTGTGAATTTTTACAATTGCGTGTGTACGTGTGTATGTGCATCCATGTGCACGTATATCTGTGTAAGTTTCATTAAATTTATCTATATTTGTATATGTATGTATGCGTTCATGTGTGGGCGTGTATGTGAGTATTTGTGTGTTTGTGTGTATTTGTGTATATGTGTATTTCTGTGCTTGTGTGTTAGTATTCTGTGCGTTATGTGTGCGTATGTGTGCGGTATGTGTGCGTATGTGTGCGTGCGCGTGTGTGTGTGTGTATGTGTGCGTGTGTATTTCATTGTCCGTATGCCTTGGCTAGATTTCAATACAAATGACCAACCAGTGTACTTGCAATTAATAAAGCCATTGAAGTCCAGTAATGTATGAGTCCGCCTGACATTCTGGACTATTCATAACTTTTTCTAATTACTAGCTGGCCAGTAGAACTACTACTCTTCTTACCATTATTACTCTTCTGTAGTAGCATTGGTGCTACGTATGTAGTGCAGACTTATATGATACTGCAATGTTGAATTTGAGTCCACAAGTGTATGTGTAGGTAAGGATTTTTATGCGTATGTATACGGTTATATGAACACAAATAATACTTCTACCATTTTTATTTTTACTACCACTACTACTACTACTACTATTATTACTACTACTACTATTATTACTACTACTATTATTACTACTACAGCTACTTCTTCTACTTCTACAATTATTACTACTATGACTACTACTAACATTATACTACTACTACTACTACTACTACCACTACCACTACTACTACTACAACTACTAAATTACAGTATTTACTAACTAAACGGTAATGTTCCGGCCATGCAATTATCGAATCGATATTTTCATTGTCGGTTTCGGTTTAAATTTTTTTTTTTTAAATTAAAGTCTGTACATTTATGATGGCGAATGAGATAAGTACGTCATCATCGTCATCATCGTCATCATCGTCATCATCATCATCATCATCATCATCATCGTCGTCATCATCGTCGTCGTCGTCATCATTGCTGTGGTTAGGAACAATCAATAAGTTGATGTTTCGTGAATGATGGTCGTGATGATGACGATGATGATGACGATGATGATGACGATGATGAGGACGATGATGATGACGATGATGATAAAGATGTGGATGAAATTGAAAAAACGGCGACATTGATGTTGCAATGAAACAGCAGTACAAACAAGACAAGCAAAATAATAATAATAATAATAATATGAAAAATATACATAGCAGCAGCAACAAAAAATGATGAAACAAAATGGAAAATATGATATAAGAAACAAAGTAATAAAATTTTTCATAAAAAGACAAAAGAAAAATCCTTCAAAATAGAAAGATATTTGTTTGATGGCTTGAAGGCAGGTATGCTGATAGCAGAAACACGTACAAACATACACGTACAAGCATACATAAATATACATAAAATACCATTATAAAACACACACACACATAAGTTTAAATGCAAACACTCTGTCAAAATTCTGAAAACATACATATTAATAAACACAAACATCTGTATACACGCACATACACACGCATACAAATATGCATATAAACACACATACATAGGCATACAATTACACGTTCGCACACACACACACACACACACACGCTCTCATAACTTTCACTCCCGCATAATTTTAGTGTGATAGGTTAAAAGACAAGGAACACTGAACACATAAACATAAACATTCGTACATACGCAAGCATAAACAATCCCACACACACACCACACACACACCACACACACAACACTCACACACACAACACTCACACACACGTACACACGCACGCACGCACTTCACACACACGCGCGCGCGCATATACTATCACATGCCCCATATAAAAAAACTCCTTTGACCAATGCCATTCATAGAGAAAATGGCATCCAGAACATGTTCCAAGTGATATACATTGCTAATGGAAAAGAACAAATGCATATAAAAATAGTTATATTTGATTATTTAAATTTTGCTGTTATGGGAATTTTGCATTTTTTTACGAACGCGCCGAAAAGTGGACCAACTTTTATAAGTAAATTTTTTGACTTTCGTTTTAACGATGATCGATGAAAAAATTTAGTAATGCAAAATGAAAGTACAGTTCATTCATTCAATCATTTGTTTGTTCGTTCCTTCCTTCCTTTCTTTGTTCTTTTTGTCGTTCATTTCTTCATTCATTTCTTCATTCATTCATTTATTCATTCATTCTTTCATTCATTCATTCCCTCATTCATTCAATTTTTCATTCGTTCAAGTTGCATTTGTTGTGTCAAACGACCTATTTAACATCGAAATTAATCGATGAAATAGTTTTTGTGCAATTTTTATTAAAATAACAATATATGTTTGTATATATAAACGCGCGCGCGTGTGTGTGTGTGAGTGTGTGTGTGTGTATGTTTGTATAGTTGTATGTCCTTTATGTGTTTATATACTTATGTGTAAGTATAAAATGTTTTTCGTGTGTGAAGTGAAAAATTCATGTATGTAAGTGTGAATGCGAGCATGAGTGTGGGCATTTTTTAATTAGGAAGTTTGTTAATGAAGTAAAATTCATGAACTACAAAAGATATAATATAAACAAGGTCAGGAACAATGAAAAAAGCAATTTCAGTGACAACATTATAAAATCAGGTAGGTCAATTGGGGGACTACAAAACAAAACTTATAACAGAAATGACAACAACAAGGACATCAAAAACAACGACAAAATCAATAACATCAACAACAATAGCAGCAGCTCTAACTGCAATAACCACAACAACATAACAGCACTGACAGCACCAACAACCGCAGCAACAACAACAACGACAACAAGAGGCAAAGCGTTCGTGCACACGTTCAATCAATATTCTAATCGGGTTTAAACGATCAACTTCATTCATTGATTGTATGAAAACATGCAGACAAACGAACCTACAAACAAACAAACATACAAACAAACAAACCGACATAAATACAAGCCAATATACGTACATACAAACAAACCAACATACAAACAAAAACCAACAAACATACATACCAACCAACATACGTACATACATACAAACTACTTATACATATACACTTTGACCTAATCTAACTTTTTTATTTATTTTTTGGTAATTTTTTCCCAAGAGTCATCGAAACGGAAAAGTTGCTGATCCAGTCCCTTCTTCCCTTCGCTTACCTATTCTATTTAGTTTGGTTTCTCCTCTTCAGTTTTTCAATTATTATCTTCACTAAATTAATTCAACGTGTTTAACGAGCCAGCTAGAAAAGCGCCTCAAAGAGAATCGGAAGAGAAGAAGAAATAAATGAACTGTAGAATGAGTAAGAGAGAGAGAGAGAGAGAGAGAAAGAGAAAGAAAGAGAGAAAAAAAGAGAGAAGAAAAACAAAAAAGAAAGAAAGTGAAGAATAAGAAATGAATAGATGATTTTGTTAATTTGAATTACGAATGTATTTTTTGAACAGAAAATGGAAAAATTTCCGCATAATTCCATAATGTTATTTTTTCATCTAGACATGTTTCTCCGACTTGTTTGGCTTGAATGCTTTTAAAATTGTGTGTCAGCTGATGTTAAGTGAACATTTGTATGAATCTTTCTATTTAAAAAATTTTAAATTCTACCGAACTTTGCTAGGTGAGTGAGAACGATGGTTTTATTAAGTTTAAATTGAGAAAAAATGAAAATGTATGATTTGATATTTGCTGAAGATGAGGGTTATATAAATCATTCAGCACAATGTCAAAATATTAATCTACATACAAATTATCAGACAACTTATTCAACCCACAACATAAAAATTTTTCTTCAAATACTGATTGAATTACAATTCAATATAGACCACAAATTAAGAGTCGTGCAAGCAAGTCAGCCGAGCCAATTCAAATTGGAAACATAAAAACACGCGAAACACTTTCTCTCTTTCTCTCTCTCTCTCTCATGAAATATGCAACAAAAAATTTTATACAAAGATAGAGATGTGTGTACGCCTTATGCATACATGCATACTCGTTATACAAATATTATGCAAGCATTCAATTGTGTTTACACATTATACAAACATCATACAAACATCACACAAACAAACAAATTTGTTTACACGTTTGTTTACACAAACTTTATACAAACACACAAATGTTTATACAAATTATACAATTGTATACTGGCACATTACATAAGATAAATAGTAAGAATAAACACGTTACAAAAATATACAAATACATTGTTATATAAAGATACAAATGAACATACAAATTATACAAATGCGCATACATACAAATTTATACAAACATACAAAGAATACATACAAAACAATTGTTAAACAAGCGAACATGCATGTATTTATGATGTGGATGATGATAATAACTCAGCCCATTCATGCAACACTGACTCTGACAATGGTAAATGCATGCACTGAGGTTTCTCGGTGCACTACACTCGTGTTTGTAATTAATGTCGTTGCTTGCTCGGTGATTTTGTCGCTGATGTTGCTGCAGCTGCTTCTACTGCCACTGCCGTGCTGCTGCTGCTTTGTTGATGCTCCGAGACATGATGATTACGATGAGGATGAGTTTGATGTCACCATCATCACGATGATGATGATTACATCACAGATGATTTACACTTAGTTAGTTTATATGTAATAGTGTTTGTTCTTGCGATCATTTTCTCATTCAATTTACAACAATTAATTGTTGGTCAGGCATTATTTCAATCATAGATTTGAATTTAATGTTTCATTTAACGCCGACTTGAAAATGATGTATCCTATCCTTCCGATCTATCCATCTATTATTATCAATTGTCCGTGTATTGTATCCGATTATATTATCATCATCATTCCATTTTTATGCATATTTCTTTTTAAAACTACATTTGATTCGTGTTTTCCTTCCGTGTTTTCCTGTTCATGTAGTCGCATTCCTGCACTCCCAATTTAGCACTCCTATTCCAGCATTCCCATTCGTGCAGTCTTATATGAGAAATTTCATTCACGTGCATAACAAGCATCATTTCAATCCATTTTCATTGATTCATTCTCTAAAATCATTGCACTTCAATCTTTACATGCCATTTCTAGACCAAAATCGGTGAACCATAACTTATCCAATGCAGTTCATTCGTCTATTATTTGTCTATACATCCATCTATCCATCCATCCATCCATTTATTCACCCGTCTATTATTCATCCATCCATCCATCTATCCATCCATCCCTCAAACCAGCTAACAAATGATAGAGAGAACACATTTTATTCATCCTCATT